TGGGGGTGTCTGCTAAAATATGTTGAAAGTTTGAATTATGGAGAATTTAGTTAAAAGCTCAAGAGATTAGTATTCTGAATATAATATGCAAGTTTAGGGCGTTTAATATTAACTATTATCCATTAATGTTATTAGAAGATGAAATGATATTTAAGTGCAGCTATAGAAGAATTCATATATAGTTAATAGTTATAATTTGAGTGATTAATATGAAGGAATGTCTGAGAATTATTTTTTTTGATGAATATTATCATATTGACTTGAAGGAAAGTCTTATGAACCCACGATTAAGTTTGCTAATTTATTTTGTTTGGTACTAAAAATGATGTTGATAATCCATTTGAGCTGCAAAAATGAGAATGCCAAGAAAATTATGTGACAAAATCTTAAAGGATTGTTGAGGAATGATTATATTGAAGGGGAAATGAGAGTATTATCTATTGAAGGGCACTGAGAGACATCCATTGAACATCATGTAGAAAATGGACTTGGTGGTTTAGACATGTACAACAAAGATAAAAAATGAATCCATCAAATACGTTGATTAAATTATCGTCGAAGAACTAAGAAGAATAAAGGTGGACATAAGTTAGCTTAATAGAAGTTTCTCAAACAAATTATACAAAAGATGCTTAACTCCTAAGGCAACACTAAATAAGAACAATTGGATTAGAAGGATTCACAAAATTGATCCCAAATAGTTTGGAATGATGACGATGAGAGAAAAGAAAAAGGGTGTTCTTGGACATATTAAACAACTCGTCTTTTTTTTGCTATTATTGAAATCTTCTAAAGTATGACTTCATCACAGTGAAAGGCAAATTCTATGGCCGAGCACTGCATCTGTATATGCAACATATGATCATTTCAGTTGGATTAAAAGGCCAAGTATTAGCATGAGATTAAATAAAAAGAAATAAAGAAATTAGTATTTGGTGAATTTATAAATTAGAAAACATATGTTGTATAGAAGAATTAATAAAGGTGGTGGTTTTATCCTATAATAAAAAGGAGAATCAATTCGTTATTAGATTGCATATAGATGTGGCATGAGCAATACAACCTTACAAACTAAAACTTGCTTGAAATTTAGATTCTAATTAAAAATAACACCTAATGTGCATGCGCACACACACACTCATGCACACAGAGATGTTAAAGAGGCATTAAGGTTTGCACCTACTAAAGGAATGGTATTGAAAATTACACTTAGATAATTTTGGTATGTACAATAGACAATATGAAATCCTCCAATTGGTTTAATAGATACAATTAATGTGAAGTAATTAAGAAGTAGGTAGAGCAAAGTTAATATGGACAAAGTTGTGCAAAAAATTAAAATAAAGTAAATTTATAATCTCAATCAACAAGTATCTTAAATGAAGAGAATGAGAATTTATAATTTTGGTGCTAAATATACACCTTATTTGGTTTTTCTTTCCAAACGGGTCAAGGCCCATAAAAAAGATTGGTATTTATTATTAAACTAGAAGAATTAGCAATCAAGGGTAGAACAAATATAATATGGCTAAAAGCTGTGCACAATCTAGTGAAAACCTCATGTAACGTTCGATAGAATGCATGTAGAAGGTTGATTTTTAAAATCAATCCATAGATAAGGAGGGCTTGTGTTGATGGTCTAGCTTGGCAATCTTGTGGAGGGATCCTATGGATGGCTGAGGGCAGTGTCGCCCATCAAGTAATTGCGTGTAAGCTATAGAATTTTTTTATTCTTATAGAAGCATGTATAGAAACTTGGCTAATATTTCTATCATGTCTTGGGAATAGTGTCAAATATTGATGGAAATAATTATCTTATGTAGCTTATAATTCTATTTTTAAAATAAAGGTGTAAGGTCCTTAATGAAATCCACACAAAATTCAAATTATTTTTCACTTTTCATTATATTTGGGATTTGTAGGAAAAAAAATTTTCGGCAACTTCCTTTCATTTTCCATCAAGAATCAGCTGCATTTCCACAATGAAGCATTTTCCACAGCAGAAGATATATTTCCTTATTTAACATAACATATACAATATAAGAAAAGAAATATTTGCCTCCTATCTCTATTGTCTGTAGGAGGGAAGCCTAGACACGCTATCTTTCCAATAGGAAGGCCATTGTCTGTATTACAAAGAGAACCAAATCCTTACTGATGTCCTCCCGGGAGAGTAAGATCCACCAACTTTTGTTATTTTACTGTCAGCTGTTGTCTTCATTGCCCATCAACATTAGGAAAAGAAAATTTATATTAATCCAAGGAGAATGTCTTTTATATAAAAATCCATTGACCGGCCAAATGATTCTAACTTGAACTCCCAAACTCAGTGGTGGAGTGCTGAATCTCTTAATCTTCTTTCCGATTGAATATAGAAAATTATCTTGTTTTGTCCTAGATTGGGACACTTTTCTCCAGTTAAAGTTGGTCCATCTTTTGTCCCTATGCTGAAAGAAGATTGATCTTGATTTTGCCGCATGAGATGTAGAAGATCCCTCAATCAGCTAATGGCTATGAATTTCAATGACATTGGAAGTTAGCAGAACCTACATGTTTCTAGTCAAAACCAATGATATTTGGGATGCAATGAAACTAACATGCTCATTTTCATGAGATTGCCATAGTTGATGAGATTAAAAAGGAAGTTCACACCATCAAGCTAGGTTCTTTTTTATTTATTAATCATTATAATGAAATGAAGAAAATATAGCTTAAAGTCTATTACTACCAAGTATATTAAAATGAGATGCTACGAAGATATATGCTATAAAATTTTGTAGGAGAAAAATTTTGAATCTCTGGATGGACTGGATGTGGACTATAACCAAGTTTATATCCAAATATTTTGAATGGACTCCCTGCCAAACCTAAATGAAGCTTTTTACACTATTAGAAATGAAGAAGGGTTTATGCTAGAAACATCATGAAGCTTTTTACACTATTAGAAATGAAGAAGGGTTTATGCTAGAAACATCACTGGTGAGAGCACTGCTTTAATTCTTACCCCTACACTAATTACAAGCAGGACAGATCCATGCAAGCCCAAATCTAACCTATCAAGCTCCAATTATCAAGAAAGTTTGTTTTACAATTTTGACAAAATAACAGTTTATACGAAAGTCATATGTTGCAAACTCCAAGAGAAGCCTCCGTACAATAAGGAACAAGTCCTCATACCAAAATCAGTCCACAAATCGTCAAATTGACGCAAGTTATGTGGAAGAAAAATTTAAAATAGTTGCGAAGATAGAAAGACTAAAGCAAAATGATAGTGAGAAACTTTACTTCTTGGCAGCTTTTGACAAACTTATAGGTGCATGCTCGAACTCAATCTGGTAAGCATTCTACTTCATACCTCTCACATGCTTTTAGAAATGGTTCAAACAAAGTATCTAATCCCATGATAAACTCTTAAACCAAATTCTCTTGTATGCCATGCCTAAAAATCGAAAAATAGAAGCGGTTGATAGAACTTTTGTTGCTATTGCTAATAAAAGGATATCTAAGACTCACACCTTTCTTTTTACTATCTTTTGTTCTCCATGTACCTTAATCATCCACAAATCTATTGTTAATTCAAAAATTGACATCTAACCTAAATTACATTATGATATTTTTTTCTACTCATTGTTTTGCTTCATGATTAAACCATGGGGATGATTGGGCATGCTCAGGAATAGTAAGTCGACTATCTCGATATCAGTAGTTATAATAATATCCCTTAGCCTTAGTTATTTAAAATTTGGGGATTTTACATACCAAGGTCCCCAAACCCTCCCTTTTACATGCAAAGGTCTAGAAATATTTTATTTACATACGGAGGTCTTCGTCACATCTCCGTGTGTTCTTTTCGTCTTGTCTGTGACAATGTAGCCACTCCTCTGACCATCTATCCTCCTCCTCCTCTTCTCCCTTCTCCCCGATCCCCTTAGCCTCCCCCTCTCCTCACTGACACCCCAACCACCCACCACCATTGACATCAATATCACCGATCTCATGTCCAAAAAGGGTTGCAAATCATTCGCCGACCTCCTCCATTCCACCGCAGATGCCTCCTATTCCTTCGCCTCTAACGTCAGCCGGAAAGAGGTAGACGCACGGATCGCCGGTGACGGATAGCCCTGATGACAAGCAGCGAATCAGAAAGTGGGGGATAATAATAGAGGTGCTGTTGTAGGTAATGTTGCTGGTGTTGCTGCGGCGGCTGCGTATTTTGCTTTGGCTTTTCTTTATTTTAGGTTTTTTTTTTGTTTTTTTTTTGTGGAGGCCTGATACTTTTTTTTTGTTTTTTTTTTGTTTTTTTTTTTTGTGGAGGCCTGATGGGCCTGATAGAGACATCCTTGTGTAAACAAAACATTTTGGGATCTTAGGATATAAATAAGAGGGTTTTGAAACCTTGATATGTAAAAACCCCTTAATATTTCGAATATAGAAAACACATATTTGGTTAGACCATATTCAGATGGGCCATCCATCATTTAATGTATTCCAATAAATATTTATTGCATCATTAAATAAAATAAAAGTTAAAATGTTCCGGTATAAGGTGTGTCAAATAGCTAAACATTATAGAGTACAATTCTTAAGCCACACCAAATTAGAAGCGAGAAACAGTCAGCTATCTCTAGATATAGTGCTGAAGCTGAATTTTGAGGAATGGTAAGAAAAAATTGCGAATTATTATGGATCAAAATCATTCTAAATGACTACGGAATAAAATGGGAAAATACTATAGAGTTACTCCCCAACAACAAATCAACAATCAATATTTGCATAACTAAATACAACATGATTGTATCAGACATAAAAAGAGCAGTCGATTGGTACTTCAATGAAAAACAATAGTTGAAGCACATAAGCAGTTTATTGACATTCTGACCAATGATCTACCAAGCCCAATATTTTAACATATTACCTTTAAGTTAAGCATGGAGCAAACCTACTGTACAACTTGTCGAGGACTATTAACAGTCCAGCTTAGCAGTTCTATGGAGGGATCACATGTATGGCTGAGTGTGGTATTACCAATGCATAGAAAATTGGTTAATATTATGTAATTAGTGTTTTCCAAAGAAGAAATTGCCTCATATATAGCCTAGAATTTTGTTATATAAATAATGGCGTAAGATTCTTCATGGAATACACGAATTGTTCATATAATCTCCTCATCTCTTTTCAACTACTTATGATTCTCTGTGATTGAGTAAAATTTCCTACCTTTTCCTATTTAGTTTTCCTCTAACATAACTACCTGCACCAGAAAGAAGAAGCAGCTCATCAGCATCATTTTATTTTGCATGCTGCTTTAGATATTGTTCAAGATCTTGCATGGACAACGAGTGCCATGTGAGCATCCTCGCCATGATTGTTTTGCGATGATTTATTGTAGTTTATACTTGTTTTATACTTCATGGAACTGTAGCTGTTTAATCTGTCACCTTGCAGGTTTTTGAAGGCAATGGACCGATTCAATGAACTAGTTGTATCAGTTTATGTGACTGCTGGTCATATCCTTAAAAGTTCATTTCAGTATTTATTGACTTAATTTTGCATAATATATTAAAGGAAGATTTACATAAATATGACTTAAATTCTCATTTTTATATATATCTAACACCTAAACTTCAAGTTTTACACATATGCCACCTTAAGTATGCATGAGAAGCAGTATTTTACTTTTTGAAAGTTAAAATAATGGTATTTTTGATGTGATATGAAAGTTTTAGGCGGGGTAATTGTAAAAAGAAAATTTTAGGTTTTAGATATGTAAATGCATAGGAATTGGGTGCTACGTATGTAACTGCCCCTATATTAATAGGCTTGGCCGTATCAACCAAACAGCAATCTTATGCATTGTAAGGTAAATTAGAGCTAATGGTAAAATTAGATTCCTAGATGCAAAAAAATAGGGTGCTTGATTTTTTTGTGATGCTTGGACTATTGTGAGAAATAAAACTTCCATTTGCTTGGTCACAAACCACCACTTTTAATCAACCCATATGGATTGTTACATAAATTTCATCACCATTGAAAACTTTGAAGCACAAATTAATGTATTACTCTTATTAATACCAATATGTGCTAATCTTATATTTGTTTAGCCTTTTAAATGATCTCCTTGTCACCTTTGTCATAATTTCACCGTTATGAATTTGTTTCCTTGATAAACTGCTTCTTACATGCTAGATTGATGTTGCTTCATGATTCGCGAAATGAAGATGCAATAAAAAGCTTTTTCCAAGAGGTTCATGAGCTTTATATAAAGGTATAACTGCAATCCTAGTATGCATTGTCAGGAAGTTGAGAAGAAATTATATTTTAGCTGTAGTAGTATCCACTTGATTTATTTCAATTAACTCTTGTTATTTGAGTTTTGAATTTTTCATTTTAAATCTTAACTGGATGGATATACGATGACTTTACTCTAAAGATACAGGCTTCTCTATGAGAATGAAATTAAATTCCAAAATAGTATTCCAACTATCTGTGCATGGCTTATTTTGAGCAAAAGTATGTCATCTCTGTAATTTAGTGTCTCGACTTTACTAATTTGATTCAAAATAATCTCTTGCAAAAACGATGTTACAAAATTGACCCCGTTTCAATCCCCTCGACTATCCAAAATTGGTCTCAATTTAGTTCTCAAGGGACCATTTTGGATCAATTTTGTATAGTAAAGGGAATAAATTGGAAAAATGTAATACTCTGGACTAAATTTGCTCCATATAGTTTTTTGGGAGAATATTTTGGTGTTTATTGGAATGCATTCTATTGCTTTGTTTTTCAAACTCTAGTTTAACTTTTTGGAACTTAACAACACTTGCACCTCTTTTATAGCTTCTCAACAAGGATTCATGGCACTTTCTTGGTGGTGCTCCAACATCTTGCAAACTTTGAGATGGAATGTCTGTCAGACACAAGAAATTTCCTGAAATCCTTTACTAAATAGTTGTAAATTGGTATTTTATAGCTACGTAGTTCCGACATCAAAATACTTTGGTCATACCAACTTTATGCCTCCTGCTTGGATGATTTTGTTTGGATAATTGTAGGGAACAGAAAGCATATGTGTTAGGAACTAAGTTTATTAATTATATCTCAAAATTTTCCTTTTGCTGGATGTGAGTTGGGCTGGAATAAATTTAAGGAAGATCCCCAAAGTGGAGATTACTATTGGGATCCAATAAGTATAATCTAGTATTGTTTAGAATAAAGGGGAGGAGGATTATATATTTCAGTACAAAAACTGCTATACCTTAAATTGCCCATTAATATGCGTTTTTCTTCTTTCCTTTGTAACTCTTATCTCTTTCTCCCTTTATTTTCTCATGCAACATTAATAATTCTTGTTCTCAGTGTGATCTCCAACTTCTATTTGCTCTTTTGATATATGTTTCTCTAAAGGGCGTGCATTGCAATCAACACATGTATCAAACATGTAAATATGGAGCACTCACATGCTTTTTTACTTGTAAATTATGTACCTCCCACCTAAATCTCAAGCTCTCGTCACCCTTGTGACATTCATCTTTCTTCAAGGCAATAGATTGGAATTGCTAGAGCTATGTAGTAGGGCAAGGTTGGAGCACTTCATGCTTTAAATTCTTTCTGCTTTTGGAATGGAATGCTTCGTTGAACATGACTTAGAACTTCTCATTTGCTTCCGGTGCTTTTGAATGTGTTCTATACCATGCCTATGTTTGGCCCCTTGTTTATTATGGTAAGTTTATATTTTACAAACCGCACCAATCATTCTCAATTGCTTACTTTTCTCAATAGTTGTTGATTCTTACTCCTTGTGTTTGTTTCATTTTTACCCACAATTACATTTTGAAACTCAAAATCATTTATGTTGTCTTATGTCAACAACCAAAAACTTTTCTATGTCAAAATATGCGGTTAAAGATAGGTTTTATTATTATAATTATTGGCCTTATCCTAATTGTTTGGGGCCAGCCATATGC